TCAGTGCCGAGGGAGCGCCGCGCTGTCGGAGGGTCAGTGCCGAGGGAACGGCGGTCTCTCGACGCAATGACGGGATCCCGCACGCAGGCCTGTTCCCCGAAGCCTGCTCCTGGGGGTATCCTGCTCGCTCACCTGATCCAAGTAGAGTCGGACCCGCCGCCGCAGCCGCTCTCGATCCGGCTTCACTTTCTGATTCATCGCCGCCACCTGCCCTCGCTCCCGCGCTGCCACTTCCGGTCCCCTGCTTCCGTCTGACAAACCCTTCCCCTTCCCGGAGAACCGTAACCCGAACAATCGGTCCCCCTCCCCGCTTCCCCATGCCCCAGCAGACAACCTGAGTGTTCCCTGAGCATGAAGCCGCCTGCTCAATGTGATCAGGGGATATCAGGGAGTTATTGTCAATTACTTCTTTCAGTGGCAATACATTTGACGCAAATGACAGCAAATATTATCCGAGTGCTTTCAAAAATCAAATACTGCATTTATTAACTGAAAATGTTGGAAATAGTGTGAAGTCTTATTTTTCAGCAGATTCTGATGCTAACAAATCCAAATGAACACATATTCTACCCTTTCCTCAGGGTTGCCTGACAGTTTCACATACAATCTGAACTAGAGATTTTAGCAACTTAATAAAGTGCATTTTTCCTTCAATGGTTAAAGGTAAAAGTTGTTTTCTGGAAACTGTGATAAGAGGAGACGTAGAATAAATTTCATAATTGAAATCATATTTGGACTACATTTCCACTGTGTAGTTTATCTGCTGCTGGAATCCTTATCAAAACCTTTGGTATCTCTAGATTTGTCTCTTTCATTGCATCCAGGCTGCAATCCCCCACATTTTAATAACATAGAAAATAGGAACAGATGTAGGCCATTCAGCCCTTTGAGCTTGCTCCACCATTTAGTATGATCATGGTTGATCATCCAACTCAGTACCCTGTTCCCACTTACACCCATTCCTTTTGGTCTTTTGGCCCTAAAATCTATATCTTGTGAATCTGTGGAACTGATTGCCGCAGAGGGCTGTGGAGGCCAAGTCATTAAGACAGAGATAGATAGGTTCTTGATTAGTAAGGGGTCAAGGGTTAGGAAGAGAAGGCGAGTGAATCGGGTTGAGAAATATACCACCATGATTGAACAGTGGACCCAGCCTCAATCTTATGGTCTTCTAGTTGAAAACATTCAATGCTTGGCCTCTACTGTTTCTTGTGGCAGACAATTCCACAGGCTCACTATTCTCTGGGTGAAGATATCATTTTAGTCCTAAATGGTCTATCCTTATACTATGGCCCTGGTTCTGGATTCCCTGGTCATCGGTAACATCATTTACTGTGCATTTACCGGGTCGAGTGTTGTTGGAATTTTATAGGTTTCTACAAGGTTACCCTCTCAGTCTTCTAAGCTCCAGTGAATACAGTCCTAAGCAATTCAGTCTTTCTTCATACTTCACTCCTGCTATCCCAGGAATCAGTCTGGTAAACCTTCATCGCACTCCCTCCACAGCCAGATCACCCTTTCTCAGATAAGGAGACCAAATCCACGCACAATATTCCAGGTATGGTCTCACCAAAGCCCTATATAAATGTAGGAAGACAACCCTGCTCCTGTACCGAAATCCTCTTGCTATAAAGGCCAATATACTATTTACTTTCTTCACCATATGCTGCACTTGCATGCTTACTTTCAACAATTGGTGTACAAGGCACCCAGGTCTCACTGAACCTTCCCTTTTCCCAATCTACCTTCCTGTTTTTGTTGCGAAAGTGAACAAGCTTTCATTTATCCATATTATACTGCATATGCCATGCATTTGCCCATTCACACAATTTGTCTAAATCAGATTTCTGCATCCTCTTCACAATTCATCTTCCCACCCACCTTCATGTCATACTGTCTGTGAATTTAAGCTAATCCGAAACACCACTGCCTGGGTCTTAACTTGCAGCAAGTCCTTCTCCCGTTTCCTTCTGCCCCTGTTATCACAAGATCCCCATGACACAATGCCTTCATTTTAAACACCCCTATTGTCAATTCCCAGCATTGTTTTGCCCCTAGCTAGCTCTTAACGTCCTCCAGATCCACAACCCTCTGTGCTAGCTTTGCTCGTACAATCCTGGGTCTCTGGTCAACCTCAGTTTTATTTTAATTCAATTTTCCATTGAAGACCATGCCTTCAGTTGCTGAGGATATATAAACTCTAGGATTCCCTCAATCTCTCCACATCCCTACCCCACTGTCCTCCTTTAAGACAGTCTTAAAACTAGCCACTTTGGCTAAACTTTTGATTCCCTGACCTAATATCTTTTTATGTAGCTTGGTGTCATACATTGTTTATAATGCTCCAGTACAGCGCCTTGGGACATTTTGATAATTAAAAATGTTGTATGAATATAAGTTGGTATTCTTGTTAGACCAAATAGTCTGTTTTTGTGCTGGAAATTCTATGTTGATTGCATTGTAAGTATTCATAGAGGGCTGATCATTAGTTGATATGATTGCTATATTTAATTAGTAACAGTGACTCCTGGTGAATGGTCATAATGCTTTATTAATGTTTATCACTTCTGATGAGTAACTCTTGGGTTAGCCATGTGTAGCACTCTCCATCTGAGTCAGAAAGTTGTAGGTTCAAGTTTGACTTCTGCGTAAAAATCTTGGATGAAACTGTGGATCAGTATTGACAGAAATCATGTCAAACCCATTCTCTCTCTGCTCTTTCCTGTGGACCTAAACTATTAAAGGAGGGTAAGGGAGTTCTATCAGAGTTGGTGTGGGAGAGGGGGTTCTAAATCAATATTTATCTCTTAGCTAACACCTAATCTGCTCGTTAGCTGCATTCCCTGCATTACAACTATGACTACACTCAGTTGTGAAAAACAATTTGGAAATGCAAGCTTTACTTTTACTCCCGTTAATTTTGCCATGCCTATTAAGTGACTTTTGTTCTTAATTAAACACTGCCATTTCCAGATATGAATCTAACAGGTGTGGTCCAGAGCAGGGTCAAGGCCTGGATCCCCCAAAAAATGGAGTAACAATAGTAGACCAGCTCATTATGGAACACTCCCTGTGGTCAGGGTGTACTGGACAGCGAAGAAGGTTACCTCAGAGTACAACGGGATCTTAATCAGATGGGCCAATGGGCCAAGGAGTGGCAGATGGAGTTTAATGTAGATAAATGTGAGGTGCTGCATTTTGGAAAAGCAAATCAGGGCAGGACTTACACACTTAATGGTAAGGTCCTGGGGAGTGTTGGTGAACAAAGAGACCTTGGAGTGCAGGTTCATTGTTCCTTGAAAGTGGAGTCGCAGGTAGATATGATAGTGAAGAAGGCATTTGGTATGCTTGCCTTTATTGGTCAATGCATTGACTATAGGAGTTGGCAGGTCATGTTGCAGCTGTTCAGGACATTGGTTCTGTCACTTTTGGAGTACTGAGTGCAATTCTGGTCTCCCTCCTGTAGGAAGGATGTTGTGACACTTGACAGGGTTCAGAAATGTTTTACGCGGATGTTGCCAGGGTTGGAGGGTTTGAGCTATAGGGAGAGGCTGAATAGGCTGGGGCTATTTTCCCTGGAGCATCGGAGACTGAGGGGTGACCTTTATAGAGGTTTATAAAATAATGAGGGGCATGGATACGGTAATTAGGCAGGGTCTTTTCCCCGGGGTGGGGGAGTCCAAAACTAGAGGGCATAGATTTAAGGTGAGAAGGGAAGTATGTAAAAGGGATACAGGGGCCAACATTTTCACACAGAGGGTGGTGCGTGTATGGAATGAGCTGCCAGAGGAAGTGGTGGAGGCTGGTACAACTACAGCATTTAAAAGGCATCTGGATGGGTTTATGATTAGGAAGGGTTTAGAGGGATATGGGCCAAATGCTGGTAAATGGGACTAGATTTATATAGGATATCTGGTCGGCATGGACGAGTTGGACCAAAGGGTCTGTTTCAATGCTGTACAGCTCTATGACTCTATGACTCTATCGGGCAAATCCAGGCAGGTAAATATGTCATGGATCAGTGCTGTGCCCGCAGTAATGATTGTACCCACTAGCCACGCTTCATCCCAGTGACTCTGTACATTCTGGAGTGGTTAGAACCTCAGATTTGATGGAGGGCTGCCTCCCTCACTGTACAGCCTTGCTGACAAAAATAATGAAAAAGAAAGAATTTATGTTTTCCTAGTATCTTCCACGTCCTCAGGATGTCTCAAGGTACTTTCCAGCCAATAAAATATACTTAAAGTGTAGCCACAGTTGTACTGTAGGATACACAGCAGCCAATTTGCACACAGTAAGGTCCCACAAATAACACAAACCAGATAATATTTCAATTTGGTGAATCTCGTTGAGGGACAAATATTGGCTCAGGACACCAGAAGATTACTCCCAATTTTCTGTAAGTAGTGCAGTGGAATCTTTTATAGCTACCTAAGAGTGCAAACAAAATATCGCATCCAAAAGACAGCACCATCAGCTGAACAGAATTCCCTAAGTGTGGCACTGCAGCATCAACCAAAGATTCCAGATTTATGACAACAAGGTGCAGGGCTGGATGAACACAGCAGGCCAAGCAGCATCATAGGAGCAGAGAGGCTATGAATGGGGCACACATGTCCTGTATTACCGTATTCTTGCAGCAGATGGTGCTGTCACCCAAGGGTAACAAATAGCAGAAAGTGAGACAAGGGCCCAGATCTACTGGTCTCCAGATTGTCAGAGATCAGACCATTATGGAAATTGACAGATTTCTGGATACTGCTGACATTGAACAATATGGGGATAGTGAAGATAAATGGTTTTGAGATAGATGATTAGCCTCGAACAGTTTGAATGTCAGAGCAGGCTTGAAAGGATATATGAGATAACAAGGTGTAGAGCTGGATGAACACAGCAGGCGAAGCAGCATCAGAGGAGCAGGAAGGCTGACGTTTTGGGCCTAGACCCTTCTTCAGAAATCTGAAGATCTGAATGAAATCTGAGCACCTTGTTATCTCAGATTCTCCAGCATCTGCAGTTCCTACTATCTCTGAAAGGATATATGACCTCCTCCTCTCCTGTTTCCTATGCTCCCACCCTTCACCCCTGTTATCCAACCTATTGTCACCCTACTTCCCACCCCAACCAATTTAACTACAGACTAGCTCACTTTCTTTCTCTCAGTAGCTTATCAAAGCAGATCTGGAATCTCTACTTACAGGAGCACAGTAGCTATTGCTGTAATACGGTTGCACAGTTTCTGTGAAGTTTCACAGCTGGGCCAGACTCTGCGTCAGAGAACCGACCAGGAAAGGAATGAAGG